ATGGCGTGGTTTATGCACGTGATGTAGATGCACTAGCTTTATATTGGTTACGTGGCGAACATTGCGCTCTCTTGCTCTCGTTAACATGCTTAAATACTTGTGGTACATGACAATATAAAAGCTTGTGTATGAGACTTAAGGTTTGGGACTCTGAAGTCTGTTCTGAAATGGAAGTGTCAGACTTAATGTCATTCGCTTCGGTTTTTAATGACGCGTGGCTCGCATTGACAGGTGAAAATCTGATCAACCTGCTTACACTGCAGACACGAGAACACAGATCTGATTCATATTGGATAAATTTCCACATATGAACAAGGCCTAAATCTGATTTGAGTAAATCGGAATCCATGTTATTTGTTCCCGCTTACACGTACTGTACATGGGCCATATTCGATCTCTGCCACACGAAAGAAAAAGATCGGAATTGAGTCACTTGGACGGTGCAGTGTAAATGCAGCCTTAGATTGGGGTTAGGGATAGTGTAAGCTGACATGTACTGGCAAAGTTATTTATAGTCAGTTAAATGTCTGTTGAAGGAGCAGTATCAACAGATATTAAGCAGACAGTCTACTAATACTCAAATGGACCATCAAAATAAAGTGTTACCAATTAATTAGGGATGTAACGATTCACCGGACTCACGTTTCGATACGATTCACGATTTAGTCATGATTTTTTTTAATTATTATTTGAAACAAATTTGATGAGCTCTTTGATTTTTTTCTTAAATGCTGCACATATTTTGCAAACTAATACATTTTCTGCCATAACTAAATTAATATTAAACAAGAAGAATAAACAAACTAAAACTGTGACTGTGCTGAGATTTACATTTTTAAAAAAGAAATATCAGAATATCTGTTTACAATGTCCCCTGCTGAAAAAAAACTCAAAGAGGACTAAGATGGCTGGAGTGGAAAGGTAAAGCCTGGTTTATACTTCTGCGTCAAGTGATCGGCGTGACCCACGGCGCCTGCCTTGGCACGTAGTCATGCATTTATACTTTTTCATGATGTTTGTGTTGCTCTGCAATAACTCTTTAGAAGCGCTAGCTGGCAGTAGGCGTTTATGTTCCTCCTCTCTGTCGAGTTTCTTTACAGGTGTTTTGTTTTTTTCTGAATGCTACCTCAATGTAGAAGTGGCTCAAACTCCTCATTTTGAGGCGGGAACGGAGGGACGGTCAACAACTTTAATCATAAGGTAAACACAAAACAAATGTTTCCATCTGGAGTACGTAATTAAATCACTGTCATAAATATTTTGTGCGTAAATACAATTCACGCATCTGTAATTAAGAAAATTTTAAGGAAAACGGAACATACTCGTAATTTTACGAGGGTACAGTTCCAAAATCTGCAACTACAATAGACACAGATACGACAGTTTCTTTTTGTGTTTCTATATGACAGATGAATTTATGATGGGCGACTTTAAAAACGCGACATACAGTTTCACGATGGACACGGCGACCTGATTACGAGTACAAATCAAAAAGCGCTGTCAATATAACAGCACCGCTTTCTGGGCACTCAAGCTCCCACAAATAGTCTCAGGTAAGATTTTTGTTATTCCCTCTTTGAGAAATGTCCGTCATGAGCTGTAATAAAGGTTGAAACCTAATAAGGTCCATTTTCGCCGTGTTTCTTAGACACTTTACAGAATCAAAATTAAGAACGGGCTGAGGATAGTGAGCTAGCATAATGTAAGTTAACATTACAGGCAGCAAGCGCAGAATTTCTCTGGGAATCACTTAACGATGTTTAACTATAACATGACATCTGTCGATTAAGCAACTTTTTTAAAGCCAGATCGACCATTGATCTATTATGTAATGACGATATCAGCAAAAGGAAGAAGGTAATGGACCTCATTAAGTTTCAACCTTTATTACAGCTAATGACGGACATTTTTCAAAGAGGGAATAACAAAAATCTTACCTGAGATGGTGTGTGGGAGCTTGAGTGCCCAGCAAGCGCACCGTGATGATCGATGGCTCTCGCTTGTTTATTACTGCCTGTGACAGCGGTGACGTAATATTGACAGTGGAGTGCGCTTTTTGATTTGCACTCGTAATCAGGACGTCGTGTCCGTCGTGAAACTGTATTTCATGTTTGTTAAGCACACCCACCGTAAATTCATCAGTTGTTTACAAACAGACAAAGAAAATGTCGTATCCGTGTCTGGTCTAATCGCAGATTTTGGAATTGTGCCCTCGTAAAATTACGAGTACTCTCCGCTTTCCTTTATGTTTTTATGATTACAGATGCGTAAATTTACGCACAAAATATTTCTGACAGCGATTTTATTCTATACTACAGCTCCTTCACGGGACTCCACACTTGTAAACACTCCCTCCAACCGGTTCGCATGGCTCTCGGTCCCGCCCACACTTGCATCGATACCAAGCCGACCAATCACAGAGCTTGCGCTATGCGTTGTTGTGACGTGAATTACATTTTTTGAGAGCTGGTTGCGATGGAGCATACACATGCTCTTGATGCAGAAGTATAAATCAGCCTTATACCTTTTCTAAACAAGAGAGCAGTGTGTAGAGAGGAGGTCAACAGGCCCTCTGATCAGGGGACGGGCCACTGGTATAAAATACTGATTATAAAATTACTAATTATACAGTAGGATAGAGACAGGGGTTAAACATAATTATGAAGGTGAATAAGTAATATTACTTGATTAATTAATGAGTATCAGTGAGATACACTTAAGATGAGATGACCTTGAACATTTTTAAATATTCAATAATAATAAGCAAATTATTAAAATATGCGTCGACTAATTTGAAAAGGAGAAGGTAAAAATAATATAACACCTGGTTCTGTAACAGAACTACTTTTTCTTTCAGTCTGAAAATCATCTTCACACTTTCTATGAAAACACTGATGCACTGTGTGATCTCTGTAGCACTTATCAGAGCAAGTGGAGCAGTAAATCATGCGGTCAGCGTGGTTTGGCTTATTAATAGTTTGTTTGTGTATAGACGTCTGTCACAGTAGTTTTTGTGCAGTTTATGTGCATCATATTTTTTGTTCTGTTAGTGCACGTAAAAGTAATTTTGCAGTATTTGCACACAGTTTGTCTGATGCACTTCAGTGCTGTCATTTTACTCTGCCGCCCCACTCCTTGCTTGCCGTTTATGTGCAGAAAAAGCGAGACTGCGCCTGTAAACACAGCGCCCCCTCTGTTCAAAACATGTTTCACGATTTATTCAACATTTCAACCGGTTTGAATCGTCACATATTTGAATCGATTCGAGTCTTGGTGAATCGTTACATCCCTACAAATATTTATGTAAATAGAACTGTATATTTAATATATATATATATATATATATATATATATATATATATATATATATATATATATATATATATATATATATATATATATATATATATATATATATATATATATATATATATATAAATATATATATATATATATATATATATATAT